TTTTTGTTTGTTTGTTTTTCTGAGACAGGGTCAATTATGTAGTTCAGACTGCTCTGGAACTCACTGTGTAGCCCAGGCTGTTCTCAAACTTGCAGCGTTCCTCCTGCCTCAGCCTCCTGGGTGCTGGGATTACAGGCGTGTGCCACCACGCCTGGCTTACATCTCTAAAATATCTAAATTCATAGGGTTATAAATAATTAAACCCATGAATAAAAGATAGCCGTGGGGCCTGGGATCTAGCTCAGTGGCACCACGTCTGCCTTGAAAACTCAAGGTCCTGAATTTGATCCCCAGTACCAAAAAACCAAAAACCAGACAAAAACAATAACTGTGTACTACACACAAATGTATAAATCTTAAAGAATATGGTCTCTTTAAAAGTGCTATTTAATTTAAAACATTATGAATAGAGAACTCAGCAATTTATTTTTTCCTAAGGCAAATGAGCACAATTTAACTTTTTCTGGACTGGGTATATCCACAGTTACAACATAAATAATAAATAATATTCTGAGTTTATATATAAAAAGTTTACACAAGCTGTTATTCAGTCTCTTTATAGATACACCTTGACCAAAGATAGTCTGGTGGCAATTTAAGTTTACAGAGATATTTATGTTATTTCCAAATTGTTACATTTAAAATTAAAAAAATAAAAAGTAGCTATATCCTATGTTTTTATTCACAGAGCTAATCAATCTGTTGTACTTGCTTCTTGCAAGCCCTTTCTCATTTTCTTAATGTGCTGATTCTAAGCTATTGTAAGCTCAGAAGCCAGCTAACGTTTCAGGACAGCCTGATATGAATAAAAAAACTGTGTACGTATATGTAAGCTTTAGATTCAGCCTGCCCTGGTTTAAATCCTAGTCACATTACTACTTTGTGACTGTGTGAAATTAACTTTTCTAAGCCCCAGTGTTCTCATCCTTAAAATGGACATATTATCTACATTGAAACACTGTGGAGGAAAAATGAAAACTTAAGTATCTTGCCAAATGTATTCTCTTACCTGGCAACCTAAGTTGTTAACCAATCAATGGTAATTACAACATAGGTAGTTAAGTTTATTGAAATCATGGCCAAGTTAAGAATATAAAGAAGTTCTTACTACAAACATGCTTTTAATATGTGAAATTCTTTGGTACCATACAGGAGATACAAAGATGAAAAAGAACACAGTTATCTGCCCTCCAGAAGAGGGGCAGCCTAATGAAAGAGGTATGTAAGCAATGTCACAGCAGCTTGATAAGTGACACAGTAAAGAAAGCAGAACTCTATCTGAAGCAAAAATGTTTTTATGGAAAAGGTGATACTCTAAGGGGATAAACAGGAGTTCACCAGCTTCAGAGCTAAGGACAGAGGTGGGCAGACTTAGTCAAGAAAGAGGGAACAACACACAGACCTACAGCAAAAAAAAGCATGGTAGGTTCTGGAGCAGGGGATTTCCAGGAAGGTGATTTTATTTATTTTTTTATTTTTTTGGTACCGGGGATTGAACTCGGGTCCTTGCGTTTGCAAGGCAGGCCACCGAACCACTGAGCTAAATCCCCGGCCCCAGGAAGGTGATTTTAGAAAGACAAGTAGCGACCACACTAACACAGCTAGTACACCAAACCAAGACGGCCCATCTTAAATAAGTAATGGGACACACAAAGGTATTTTAAGGACAGGGAAAGAGGTTCCTTGAGAAAAAGATAATACTATATTGCTTAGATTCACATTATACTGACAATCCCACAGCTAAAATGGATAGGGAGAACTACAGTCAAAGTAAATATAGCTCTAGTTATAAAGCAGCAGCAACTAACCTAAAGCAATAGTGCTAAGAATGGTGAGTGAGGCATGAATGAGAGACTAAGAAGGCAGTTTTGTTTTGTTTTGTTTTGTTTTTTTGGTACCGGGGATTGAACTCGGGTCCTTGCACTTGCAAGGCAGGCCACCGAACCGCTGAGCTAAATCCCCGGCCCTAAGAAGGCAGTTTTAACGCCCTCAGAAATCTAGGAAAATCCCCCAAAATCTAGTTTGGATAAATGAGGTACTAAGGTAAAATGGAGACAACAGAAACAGGCACAGTTTTGAGAGGAAAACAGTGTGCTTAATTTGGAATTTGAACAGGCAATCTTACCAGACTTAACACCAATGGGACAAATTAACATTAAGGTAGAAATGGAAGACAAAGGCAAAAATAATGTCACCCAGAGGCAGCATACAGAATGCAAATGGGGCAATGAGTACCTACTGTAGTTGCTGATGATACTGTTCCTTTTTTAGCTTTTTTTCAGTTCGACAAATTGTCACTTATTATTTGCATACTACTTTAAAAGCTTATGAGAGGGCTGGGGTTTTAGCTCAATGGTGGCGCTGCCTGCCTCACAAGTGCAATGTCCCCAGTTTCATTCCCAGTACCAAAAAAAAAAAAAAGCATTTGAAATTTTTCACACAGGTGTGCTAAATATAAATGCTGGTTTTCTAAACACTGCACCCAACTTCAGCATCATCTCAGGCCTACTAAAGTGGTTGGTGCCCAATAAAAATAAATGAATAGAAAGCCTTTACTCAGTCTCCCAAGAAGCCAAAATGCAATGCTGAAAGACTTTAAAATTGCCTGTTATTGTTTTAATGTTATAAACATTTAATACTGAATAATCTAAATTTTTCTCCACACGCTCCTTTTTTTCCTTTCAAACATATGCAATTTTCAGTGGTTTTGAAATGGGTTTTTGGAGTTAAAAAACTTACTTAAAATCAACAATTGAAGACTATCCACACTTCAGATTTCTTTATAAAAGTCAGAAGAAAATACAATTGTTAAATTTTTAAAATGTCAGCTTAAAAAAGGAAAATACTAAGTGTGAAAGATCTCACAAGAATACTGAGTATCTGACATTACTCAGAAGGAAAACCAGCCCATGTTTCTTTAGCGCTTTCTCTGTATACACTTAGATAAGTACACATTTTATAAATTCAGAAAGTGAATTTTCAAAGAATGGTGGGTGAACAGGTGAGCTGGCAAGTAAGTACAGAAGATCACTGCTGAGCAGAAGAAACTGCAATTCAGATTTGAGTGTGAAGAGGCCTAATAATGGAGTTTAGTCAGTCTTCAAACTGAAGTGCTAGTTTGCTTTTATTAGTTTGGTTATTTCTCATTAACAAAGTAAAAGAGAATTTAAGAGATCCATTACTCAGTAAAACTAAGAAAAGAAAAAGCTCCATGGTCCGTTCATAGGATAACATTACAGTCCAATCTTTATGGCGAGACCAAGTCTCAATAATTCCTTTTACCACCTGCTTTTGAATGCTGCTCTTCTCATACACATCTTTTTTGTTAATGACAGAAGTAGTATGATAGTCAGGGGACAAAAGTCAAACTGAACATAACCTCATTTTTAAAATCACCTGAAAATAAATTAAACTAATCCATTTTATTAGCATGTAATTTTACATAAATGTTTTGACTGACTGAGAATTATTTGTGCACGACTGATCTGCCTGCATGTGGGACTTGGGAATGTCCTAGTAGAAATCTTTAATTATATGCTTTCATATAGTTATGTTTTAGATTATGGGAGCCTGACTGTATGGACCAGTTCGAAAGTCTCAGTTCTGCAGTCAACGTATTAGTTCTAGCTTCATCATACACAATCTCTGAACCTTTATAGATACCTTTCTTAGCACCTTCCATCTTAGTTTTCTTTAATTTGTAAAATGAGACTAATCATAGGGCTTATTTCACAAGTCTCATGAATACATAATGTTACCAGGAAGACACATTGCATTATTTTTACTGCTGCACATTCAGTTAGTACATATCAACTTGTAGTATTTCCAATATTGTAGGTTCCACTATGGTTAGAAAACTAAAGGCTATTCCAACCATACACCGAAACAGGCAATATTTCAAGTTTAAATTTTCCACTAGTTAAGAAAGCAGTGTCCAGAATGCAGCCTGTCCTAAAATTCCACTGCAAATAACAACTAAGTAGATTAAATACACACAAAAAAGTCTAAATTGTAATGGTATTAAAGAGGAAAACCTATGAGCAGTGTGCCTTACACAATCTTGCAAGTTTTAAGAAACTGCTTCTGCTTGTTTCCTAACAGAGACCAATGGTCATATCCTTTGAAAAAGTGAAATCTAGACTGGTTTCTTTCACTTAAAGAAGGTGAGCAAGATGTTCTTGAAGGCTATGTCATACAATTGTACTTTTTCTTTGGAGGGCATTTTTTTTTTTTTAAATTACACTTTCATTAAAATCACACCAGGTTCTCAGTCCAAAACACGCCTTTAGTATTCAAAGCCTGGCTAGTCTGGAACTTTTAACTTTACCATTTCACCACAAAGGGAATTCAATTTTATATTTTGGGTACAGCTTTGAGTTTGGCTTATTCAAGATTTTACCTCAAATACAGTGTGATTAAAAGGCATTTATTACACATGTAAGCACTTCAAATGAAATCGAGAAGGATGGTGTAACCAAAGTTAACATGCTTTCTGAAAAGCTTCTCAGATTTCTTAAACACTCCAGATACCATGGGACGATCTCACCACTTGAAGCAAATGTGTATTTATTGTGGTGGGGGAGAGGAAGAAGGCCACACCCAAAGTTGAGCCTGCACAGTGAAGTGATTCTAAGTTTCAACACTTTTTAAACTATTGCTATTTTCGGTCCTCTTCTACACGGTCCATGAATTCTTTCCTACCAGGCCCAAAGTGAAAGGAAATGTTCCTCTGATTCTAATTATTCAAGTGACTTCATTTAGTAACAGCAAGTTCAAGATGGAGAATTACATCATTCGTAGAAAGATTTAAATAACCCTGGAGAAGAAAGAGGGCCAAATTCACATGCTCAGCGCCCGAGAGAGAAGCGGAGGAGCCGGTTGCCATCTCCCTTCCTCGGGTCAGGAAGGAAGCAAGGCCGGCTGGGAACACAGCGGTCCCCGGCCCGGGCGAGAGACCCTCCGGTCCGTGCGGATCCCAGGACCCGGCCTTTCCCGCTCACCTTGGCCACGTAGTCCTTCACCTCGTCCAGGTCTCCGTTCTTCAGGGCCCACATGAACTCCTTGTCGCACATCACTGCGGCGGGCGGGCCGGCTAGCCAGGCAGGGGACGGAGGCGGAGGCGGCAGCACGAGCGGAGGCGGCAGGACAAGGAGGAGGGGAGGCGT